CTCAGGGTAGCAAAGCTCTGGAAGAGGTTTACCCAGGGAGGTTGTGGGATTCCCATTACTGGAGGTTTTCAAGGGTAGGTTACACAGACACCTGTCAGGGACGGTCTTGGTCCAGCATCAGCGCAGGGGGCTGGTCTTGATGACCTCTTGAGGTCCCTTTTAGCCCTACAACTCTATAATTCCATGCCCAGATGTTCAACAGCTGGCGATCCACACCCCACGCTGCATGGGAAGTTGACAACCCCCCCCATGGCCCCAGCCAATCTGACCTGGGGGAAAATTCCTTCCTGACCCCTAATCTGTCATTCCAGAGCATGTGAGCAAGACCCACCGGCCAGGCAGCTAGAAAGAAGATTCTCTGGACCACCCTAGAACATTGGTCCACCCCATCTGGGATCCAGTGTTCAGATGGGGCAGATCTGTGCTGCTTCAGGTTCAGGCTGTTCTCTTCCCAAGGGACTGACTGACCCAGGATTTCTCTGGGGCAAGGTATCATGTACATACCTTGTAACCCATCTGGCCCGAGCTCTTAGCCAATAGCCAGGGCCTTGCAAGACTGGTCCTCTTCGGACAACACCTCGCTGAGACAAGGCAGGTCTATTCCAGGTGTGATGGTGTTTATTTACAAAGACTGCCCACCGTACCCTGTTTCCCTATACACCGCAGAAAACAAACAGCAGGCAGGTTCCCTGCAGCACAGTCCCCACCTTTGCCCCTCCAGTGGGCTCTGTGACCAAGAAGCTCTGTCTCTCTGCTTCCTGTCAGAGTCATGCTCCCATCTCCTTCTCTTGGCTTGCTGACTCCAACCCACGCTGATCTCCTAATGCTCGTGTTTGCAACCAGCTCAGTTCTGACCCGCCATGTCTCTTGGCAGTCGCTTCCTTTCTCGGTGGCTCTCTCTACTCCATACGGGAGCCAGTGGCGCGAAGGAGGTCTGCGATTGTCACCTGATAGCAGCCGCCAGTGTCTTTCAACATCACATCCCCTACCTGCACAATCTGTGGGTCGGCTGATTGTTATATTGAGCCATAGAACATAATTCTGCATCTAAGAACAGATAGATACACTCACACTCTATTTCAAGGTGCTTGGAAAAATACACGCATACTTCAGATCATTTTGAAAACCTCAACATCAGGGCCAGGGGGAGATGGAGTGGAGCTGCTTTTCACATTCTAACAGGTATGACCCAGCTCTACACCTGGATGACCCATCGATCTCTCCCTGTGTTCCTTCTTTCTCCTGGTATGATCCACCTTTAGCCCCCTATAACCCATCCCTAGCTCTCTTCCCCAGTACAATCCACCCAGCAAACAGCCACAAAGGCCCTGCCTAGAGCCAGGAAGATGCAGCACCTTGCCCAGGAGGGTGCCCATGGGCCGAGCCGGCTGCACCCCCTAGCCCACGGCGTGGCTGGCACGGTGCCGCCGCAGGCTGCCGTTGGTGGTGTAGCTGCGCCCACAGTCATGGCACTGGTAGGGCCGCTCCCCGGTGTGGCTGCGGTAGTGCAGGTAGAGCTCCGAGCTGCAAGGGAAGGCATCCCCGCAGTGGCTGCAGCGGTAGGGCCGCTCTCCAGTGTGGGTGGCCCGGTGGTGGGTGAGATGGGAGCTCTGCCGGAAGCGGCGCCCACAGTCGGGGCAGGGGTAGGGCCGCTCTCCAGTGTGGATCCGCTGGTGCGTCTTGAGCAGGAAACTGCGGGAGAATCCTTTCCCGCAGTCAGGGCAGCGGTGGGGTTTGCTGCCCGCGTGGCTGCGCCGGTGATGCAGGAAGCGGGCGCGGAGCCGGAAGCCCTCCCCACACTGGGGGCACCGGTACGGGGGTTCCCCGCCCGGATCCCCATGGATCCTCTGGTGAGCAGTGCAGTGGGAGCTGATGGCAAAGCTCTTCCCGCAGTCAGGGCATTTATAGGGTCTCTCCCCGGTGTGGGTGCGCTGGTGGGTAACCAGAGCCGAGCGCTGGCTGAATCCCCTTCCGCACTGGGCACAGCCGTAGGGGCGCTCCCCGGTGTGGGTGCGCTGGTGGGTCAGGAGGGAGGCGCTGAGGGCGAAGGCCTTGCCGCAGTCAGGACACCGGTAGGGTCTCTCGCCCGTGTGGGTGCGGCGGTGCCGGATGAGGCTGGAGTGCTGGGAGAAGCCCCGGCCGCACTGGGCACAGCTGTAGGGCCGCTCCCCGGTGTGGACGCGCCGGTGGGTGACCAGGTACGAGTAATGGCGGAAGCTCTTCCCGCAGTCGGGGCAGATGGTCAGAGCGTCGCCCATGGGGGCTCCCGGCATGAGTCTCCCCCCCAGGCAGCTCCACTCTGCAGGCCCTGCTCCCGGGGGCTCCCCGCCTGCGTCCTGGTGGTTGCTGGGGGGCGAAATCCAGCCGGGCCCCTTCCCTGCACCCCGCAAGGGAGGGAGACTCCGAGGGGCAGGAGCGAACCCCCCAACCCTGCCCCGCGGGGAGAGGAGGGGCCGGGGCTGCCCCGAAGGCCCAGCGGGCTGGGTGGGGGGGTCCCTGCTTGGCTTAGCTGCACAGACCCCCGGGCTGCCCCGGAGCTGGCTGGGGGGGTCTCTCCGGTGCCAGTTCGGCTCCGATCCCCCCGCTCCGGCCGCTGCCTCCGGGCAGCGATTTCCTGCCTCGACTGCGGTGAGTGTCTCTCGCTGCGCCGCGCCAGCGCCCGGGATCCCCGCGCCCCTCTCCCCGCCCGGCCGGGGCTGCGGCGGGGCTGGGACAGGAAGGTCCCTGCGCTATTGCAGCCCGGCCCCATGTGCTCTGGGGCGGGGGAGACGGGGTGGGAAAGCCCTGCGCTTAACCCTTCCCTGCCCAGCACGCTCCCTCCTGGCCTGGCCGCCTTCCCCACAGCGTGAGGCGTGTCTGAGTCCCTCCCCCGGCTGCAAAACACTGGGAGATCCCTGGTGCTTTGAAGTCGCCCCAGCTCTCCAGGTACCGTGTTACAAACTGCTGCCCTCCCACTTAGCACAAAAAACCTTGCATCGCTGGCAAGCTTGTCGCTGTTTGCTGCCTCCGCCTTTCCCCATTCTCTGGTCCAGGGGAGAGCCAGGTGTGCCAGATAGGGGGAGGCTTGTCACAATTTTGCTACCTCTCTGCTTTCCCCATCTCCTGAGTCCTGGCAACCCCTTGGTGATGGTTAGAGGGGCGACTTCACACTGTGCTCCCTGGTGAAGTCTCTGTTTTAAATGTGGACACCCATAAAGAAAGAATCATAGGACGTCAGGGATGGAAGGGACCTGAGGAGGTCATCTAGTCCATCCCCCTGCTCAAAGCAGGACCAATCCCCAACTTTTCTTTTTGCCCTAATCCCTAAATGGCCCCCTCAAAGATTGAACTCACACCCCTGGGTTTAGCAGGCCAATGCTCAAACCGCAACACCACCACCCCCCAACCTGACCCGTTTTTAGGTCAGGACCCCCACGGTTACAAGACTGTGAAATTTAAGATTTAAATATCTCAAACTGTGAAATTCAAGATTTTTAAAATGTGGTGACCGTGAAATTTACCAAAATGAATTGTGAATTTGGTAGGGCCCTAAAGATAAGCATTGATACCTGTCATCTTCCCAGGTTTGTGATTCGCCGGGGGACATTGGCAGCCAGATGCCGAGGATAAGGCAGCCGTGCGCGCATGCTCAAAGGCAGAAACTTAGGCATCTAAGGAACTTTTACCCTGAAAATGTAGCTGCTGAGTTTGTTGAGGTGCCTAAAGGGTTTGGCGGAAGTTTTGGGAATTGCAAATGGAGCCTAAAATTGGGATGTAGGCACCTAAACCTTTGAAAATCTCACCCTAAGTCTCTATAAAGAGGAACAAAGAAGACCCAGGAATTATAGACCAGTCAGCCTAACTTCAGTAGCTGGAAAGAGACGGGAACAAATGATTAACCAATGAGTTTGTAAGCACCTGGAGGATAATCGGGTTATAAGGAATAGCCAGCATGGGTTTGTCAAGAACAAACCACGTAAACCAACCTATTTTCTTTCTTTGACAGGATTACTGGCCTAGTGGTTAGCAGGGAAGGAGTAGATATGATATACCTTGATTTTAGCAAGGCTTTTTACACAGTCCCACACATAGGCGCCGGCTCCATGGGTGTTCCGGGGCTGGAGCACCCACGGAGAAAAATTAGTGGGTGCTGAGCACCCACCAGCAGCTCCCTGTGGCTGCGCCCCACCCCACCCCCGCTCCAGCTCACCTCTGCCTCCTCCGCAAGTGTGCCGCTGCATCCTGCTTCTTCCCCCTCCCAGCGCTTGCGCTGCGGAACAGCTGTTTCGCGGGGCACGGAGGGATGGGGGAGGAGGGTGAACGTGGCATGCTGGGGGAAGAGGCGGGGCTGGGGGATTTGGGGAAGGGATCCAATAGGGGTAGGGAGGGGGCGCAGTTGGGGTGGGGACTTTGGGGAAGGGGTTGGGATGGGGGTGGGGCCAGGGGCGGGGAAAGGGTGGAGTCGAGGCAGGGCCACGGGGCACGAGCACCCACTGGCGCCGGAGAAAGTTGGCGCCTGTGGTTCTACATGACATTCTCATAAACAAACTAAAGAAATGCAATCTAGATGAAATGTGGGTGCACAAGTGGTTGAAGGACCGTACTTAAAGAAGAGTTACCAATGGTTCACTGTCAAACTGGGAGGGTGGATCTAGAAGGGTCCCCTCAGATGTCAGTCCTGGGTCCGGTACTAGTCAATATTTTCATTAATGACTTCTTGGATAATGGAGTGGAGAGTAGGCTTATAAAAGGTGTGGCTGGCACCAAGCAGAGAGGGATTGCAAGCACTTTGGAGGATAGGATTAGAATTCAAAATGACCTTGACAAGTTGGAGAATTGGTCTGAAATCAACAAGGTGAAATTCAATAAAGACAAGTGCAAAGTACTTCATTTAGGAAGGGGAAAAAATAATCAAATGACCAACTAGAAAATGGGGAACAACTGGCTTGGTGGCAGTGCTGCTGAAATGATGTGAAGGTTACAGTGTGTCACAAATTGACTATGAGTCAACAATGTGATGCCTCTGCAAAAAGGGCTAGTATCATTCTGGGGTGTATTAACAGGAGTGTCATACGTAGGGCACAGGAGGTAATTGTCCTGCTCTACTCCGCACTGGTGAGATCTCAGCTGGAGCACTGTGTCCAATTCTGGGCACTACACTTTAGGAAAGATGTGGACAAAGTGGAGAGAGTCCAGAGGAGAGGAATAACAATGATAAAGGGGCTAGAAAACCTGACCTAGGAGAAAATGTTAAAAAACCTGGGCATGTTTAGTCTTGAGAAAAGACGACATAGGGGGGGACCTGATAATAGTCTTAAAATATGTTAAGGGCTGTTATAAAGAGGACAGTGATCAATTGTTTTCATGTCCACTGAAGGTAGGACACAAAGTAATGGGCTTAATGTGCAGCAAGGGACTTTAGGTTAGATATAAGGAAAAACTTTCAAACTCGAAGGGAGTTAAGCACTGGAACAGGTTACCTAGGGAGGTTGTGGAAACCCCGTCATTGGAGGTTTTCAAGAACAGGTTACACAGATACTGGTCAGGGATGGTTTAGGTTTACTTGGTCCGCCTCAGTGCATGGAGAGGGACGTGATGACCTCTCCCAGTCTCTTCTAGTCCTACATGTCTATGATTCTAAATTGTGGCCATAATATGTAGCGTACATGCCTGGCTTCTTCAGATCTTCGTAAGAATGTCAGCATCTTCCTCCTTTTTCAGCCTTGTCAGCCAAGCCATCCCTCACAGTACTCATGTGAAAAGCAACAGAGGGTCCTGTGGCACCTTTAAGACTAACAGAAGTATTGGGAGCATAAGCTTTCATGGGTAAGAACCTCACTTCTTCAGATGCAAGTAATGGAAATCTCCAGAGGCAGGTATATATCAGTATGGAGATAACGAGGTTAGTTCGATCAGGGAGGATGAAGCCCTCTTCTAGCAGTTGAGGTGTGAACACCACGGGAGGAGAAACTGCTTCTGTAGTTGGATAGCCATTCACAGTCTTTGTTTAATCCTGATCTGATGGTGTCAAATTTGCAAATGAACTGGAGCTCAGCAGTTTCTCTTTGGAGTCTGGTCCTGATTGAACTAACCTCGTTATCTCCATACTGACTTATACCTGCCTCTGGAGATTTCCATTACTTGCATCTGAAGAAGATTTAAAAGTCACTATCATTGAACAAAAAAACTTCAGAAACAGACTTCAAAGAGAAACAGCAGAACTAAAATTCATTTGCAAATTTAACAACATTAATCTGGGTTTGAATAGGGACTGGGAGTGGCTGGCTCATTACAGAAGCAGCTTTTCCTCTCCTGGAATTGACGCCTCCTCATCTATTATTGGGAGTGGACTACATCCACCCTGATTGAATTGGCCCTGTCAACACTGGTTCTCCACTTGTGAAGTAACTCCCTGCTCTCCATGTGTCAGTATATAATGCCTGCATCGGTAACTTTCACTCTATGCATCTGAAGAAGTGAGGTTTTTACCCACGAAAGCTTATGCCCAAATAAATCTGTTAGTCTTTAAGGTGCCACCAGACTCTTGGTTGTTTTTGTAGATACAGACTAACACAGCTACCCCCTGATACTTGTTTTAGGTAGATGCAGTCTTTGAGAGAGGAAACAGAAAAAGTATGAAGCTAGTGCACCCTAAAAGCTCAGAAACAAAAAGACAAAATGAAAGACCCCCAAATGTATGTATTTATTTAAATGTCATGATTTTCAGGTGTAAAACTCATGATTTTTGAAAGATTGACACCTGCAATCTATCTCAGGAATGTATACCTATAGTCAGTAAAAATTACAGTAGAAATTTGCCTCTGAGAAGGATTTCATACAAGATAGAACACTGCCCTTAGAACCAGATTTTTAAAGGTATTTAGGTGACTAGTGGGATTTTCAAAAGCATCTAGGTATTTTCAACCCTTAAAAATCTGGCCTGTGAGGACTATTTGGGATCGAAGTTTGACACACAAGTGATGTGAAAAAGGAGGCTGGTGCTGGTTAGAGAGGCAAAGTAACAGTTGCAATGGGCAATCCCCGTTGGTGGATCAAAGGAAACTGAAGAGGTTTTGACATCAAACCAGGAAATCGGTCAACTTAAAAGTCACATGATCCCAAAGAATAAACTTGGGTGTGTGTGTATATATATATATATATATATATAATAATATAATAAATAAAACTAAACCAACCTACCCCCCCCTAACCTTAAC